AGAATTTGAAAATGCGGACGGGCTATCTCGACTGCCCGATGCTCGCGAGTTACCAAGTGCAGAAGTGGTGATCAGCGAGTTGCAAGTAAAAGCGTTTGGATTGGAAAACTTTTACTGACTTGCCTCTATCAGAGGAAGAAATAGCGAAAGCAACGTCAGAGGACCCAGAGCTTGCTCAGGTCTTACGTTATGTTAAGGAGGGCTGGCCGCACAAGATAGAAGAAAGGCTCAAAGCAAATTTAGCAATATTCATTCATAGTGGATGCCTTATGTGGGAGAACAGGGTGATAATACCGAGGAAGTTTCGAAAAACGGTGTTACGAATGCTGCATAACAGCCATTATGGCAGGAACCGTATGATAAGTTTGGCTCGACGGAAGATTTGGTATCCTGGGATAGAGAGGGAAATAGCTCACTAAAGAAGGATGAAGGGTCGAAGTGGCCATATGAAATGAGACAAGTATCATGGTATGTGGTTTCGGACGCTGATCTCGAATCTTCTTCCCAAATCTGCCAAACGATTCGCTGAACGGAGTTACGGAGGTTTTTTGTTCCCTCACACAGTTTAACACAGTGAGGAATCGGCCTCAGCAGCAGCGGCTTGTGAACGAAGCAGTGAGCCTGGTGGCCTAGTGGTTAAGGTGGGGGCTTGGGATTTCGGGGTCAGTGGTTCGGATCCGCTTCGTGTTTTCCTTTTTGCATTTTTGTGACTGACTATTTGGCAGTAGTGAAACATGATTCCTTCATCATTGGTCAGCCCTACTTGCTTTTGGATGAGTTTGAGGTCGATAACTTCGAAATTTTTCCTAACTTGCATGCCACTACATAAGGTTAAGGCGCGCCAGTATACGGAGCGCGCGCTTCAGCCGTTTTTGAGTGAACGAATGTGAGATCTGTGTTCAAGTAGTCCAATAACTCCTGGGGCCGATTTCTAGAAAAATTCGAGATTTTGAATTAACTTCAAAAAAGTGGGCGAGTCACTCATTGATGCTACATATCCATAGCCGGTAGTTCCAGGGTTGACCTATTTTGGACGACGGCGACCCTTTAAATTTGAAAATAATAAAATGTGGGTGTTGAAATCAT